AATTGGCTCTCGAAAGGAACTCATGTCTCATTTCCTGCTTTGAACAAGAAGAATGGACTCGAGACCGCTAGTGTGATTGTTAGCAGGGTTCAACTATTTATCACAAGGAAGCTGTGGAAATATAATTTGCGAGTATTCAGCCTACAGCAGGCAAAGACTCGCGTTACTCGGCAAGTTGCAGCTTAAGGGCTTTCACTCAGTAATTGACAAAATATCAAAGCGTCTGATAAAACTCGCTTAAGAAACGGCAGCTTTTTTTTCTTTATGGACCTCTTATGGGCAGCTTAATCTAACTATAATGCCTAAACCCTGCTTAGTTCTCAAGTTGTTAAAAAATTCGATAAAAATATTTAAATCATACCTTCGATTTCTAAAGCGAACGTTGGCCGTTCTTCAACGATTTTGTGAAATAGGGTGTTGTTGAAATTTTTTCTGAGACAGGGCGTTTTCGAACTGGCTGCCGAGATAGGTCGATCTTCCACTTAGCCATCGATATGTGATATCCTCAATATTGAGAAAAATAAATACTAAATACTTTTGTTGTATTTTTTCAAATATTTACAATTTGCTTTGCAAATTCTTTATTCAATTAAGGCTAACTTCGTAAAATACATAAATACATATGTGTAATACATCCATGCACATGGTTAAATACATACTTACAAATATGCGTTATCGCAAAAATACTAAAATTTTATATACATACATACATACGTAATTAAAATTAATAAGAAAAATGTATAAAGTATGATATTTAAGTGGAAATGTAATAAAACATTCGAATGGAACTTGGTAGTGGTAAAAAGATATTTATGATATGAATATAAAGTTCAAATAGCTATAGTTTAAGAGAGTCCATAACTTGGAAATCGCGCCTTTTTTGCTGAATTCTTTGCCAGTCTACTAATCAATGTATTCCTATTTACTTCGAACTCACCCGGTGTGATAAATAGGAACTACTTAACGAAATCGGTAGGCTGTGGCCACGTTTGAGCGCCTCCTCACGCGGTACCAGCTCGTGTGTTGTGGGTGTCACAACAGTGTATTGCGTTCTTGGCGCCAAAACTGTGTAATACGAATGCACCGGCACGCGCACAGTTTCAATGGTGGTAAGCTGCGGCCGCACCAAAGTCAAATCGGATTTATCTTGCAAGTCCGTAAGACGAAGCAAATCTTTGGAGGAGCTCTCGCCATCACCTTCGTATGTATACAGAGCTCTTGAGCTGAGCTGGTCATCTGTGCCTACTAAATCGGATAGTTTGTATGTTGTCATTTGCCTTTCTGCGCTGGACAATTCTCTCGATGCCGCCGATGCTTCATTCTCTTCCTCTCCATTTTCTATCGTCACATTATCGCCATCACTAGTATTTCCCTCCTCTTCGTTACCCTCGCTGTCATCTTGTGAGATTTGCAAGCTATCAATGGATAATAAACCACTATTATCTTCGTCGTCCGTATTGGCCACCTCCTCTTCTTGATCTTGGGTAGTCTCGACATTAAGTTCCTCCTCTGCACCGCCATTCAAATTGTTGTTACTGGGTGTATTTTCTGCACTAGCACTCTCTGACAATATAGCTAATATTTTACTCCTTGTACTCTCCAAAATATCCGCCACCTCCTGTTGTGAACGCTCTGGCTTTTGTGTCTCCTCCAAACTGAGCTCGTCCAGGCGTGAAGCTTCATTTTGTGACGCCAGCGCTGCTCTCAGCTCCGCCTCTCGATATGCCTCAAAGTGAGCCTTCTTTGCTTCCTGCACTTCAGCTGTATCTCTCACGGGTAGCGGCGCCAACCTATTCGGATTCTTTGGCGCTTTGGGTAAGTTCGTCGCTGCAGCCTTAAAGCCCTGATTTCGTCCTGCTTCATACTTTACAGTTTGCAGTTTTCCATCTGCGTCAACATAGGAATAAAAACCACGCGACGAGCCGTCCAGTGTGAGATATTCGGCTTTGGCGGATCGACCAGCACTATAGCCATACGAATAGAAACCGTCCGAATCCTGTTCGTGATACTGTGTATTGGCTGGCGCTGTGTCCTTTTTTTCAAATGTCGCACTTTGCAATTTAGCCAGTAGTACCTTGGTGGGCGTATAACGGAATGTCGACGCTGTGGTTAGGGTCACCCAAACCAATGCGAGCATCAACCGCATTGTGTTGGTGCTTCGAAGGATGCTCAGTTTTTCGAAATGTCCTTGCTATTCTCACTACTCTGCGTATGCGTTATGACCACGCTTCAAAGCTGTAAAATTACTAAATTGAAACAGTGGTGAGTCGTTTTATTTATACCGCATAACACCCTTTCGAAGTGTGCCTAACGCACTCTATCTATCCGACCACTTGTCATGCATATTGTTGCAACAAGTTGTTGCATTTGCTCACAGTTTATAGAGCAGACAGTGCGTGGTACTCGCAATATTTTCATTGTAAAGTACCGTCAGCACTTTGTCAGCAGAGATGACCTCGAAATGCAGCCAATAGACAAGTACCGGCAGCCGCCATCAAACATCAACTACTAAGCTGGGGGTATCAGTTGACACAGTCGTTGCCGGATTGTTTGACAGTGCGTCTGACATACTGGCATGGTGCTAGCTTACACATGTAAATATTTAACCAACATGGACGCGCGTCGTCGGCACATATGTTTTATGTGCGGCTGTATGTCGTTTGCTTCCGATGTTGTAATAACAAACTTCTTATATTCCAAACGGTACGCTGATTAACGCATGAAGGCCTATCAAATATCAAAACTGTTAAAAAATAAGCGAGATTGTAAAATATTGGAAATGGAAATGGTAAAACTATAGTACCTTGTGGTATGCTGAGTGACATGATGAAGTTCGATATTTGTTATAAGAGGTTAATATGTGGTATGTTTACAAAAACAAAATGCCAATTGAATGTGGCGAATTCAATATCTTCTTAATTTAATATGTTATTGTAATAATAATGCCAACGATTAGCCTCATTCCGCCCGAGTAGCATGTTAGGTGTAGTATCCATGATGTACAGATTTGAATACTTTTTTACAGCGCTTTTATCAACTTGCAATGTTGTGTGTCCAGACAACATTTTAGCTATAAAACCTTTGCTTTGCAAAGTTCCTATAAAAAACTCTAGTGCATAGGGCGACATCTACCTCTACGGTTGAGAGGTAGAAGTCGCCCTATGCACTACGTACACTACAGCTGAAATGGACGACACGCCATTCCTTTACATCAACGTTGGACAGAGCGAGCTTTTACTCTGCTCGCGCCTATACAAAATGTATAGAAAGCTTAAAAGAGCTTTGCCCGCGAGCAAGGCAGTGCCTATCAGTGCTTTATAAAAGCGTTGTATATTAAAAATGTTTTTTTTTTTTATATTATTTATTTTTCGAAGATGTCTTTGTGATGCAAATTTCTTCTACATCCCACAACGCATCACCTGGAAAAATATTGTACATGAAATCTCACAGCTACCGTATATTTTAACGAATAATACAATGCACTTTTTTTTATGGACGAAATTATCGTATTTGTCATACAGAAAAAAAATCAAGCCCCAATTAACTCGATGAACAATAATGTTGTGGAGAGGTAGTGTGGTTTTCCCACAAAAAATTTAATTAATAACGGCCTCAAGCTCAATAAAAATTGTTAGGGCTGTTTTCTCAAGTAGGTTTTAAAATTTATCTGCCTTTAAATACAAATTTTGTTCTGAAAAAATGTGTTTGAAGATCAAAGGTACTTAAGAAAACGACACTTATTAGGCCAGAAAATAACAGAAAAAAAAATGTAAAAGTAGAAAAAACCGTGTCCTGTAAAATTTGGTTTCTGACACATATAGCCCAGTAAAATTAGATAAATTTGGTAGGAAAATTTAAAAAATTTTTAACAGCGATTTTTTGATTTACTATTTTTTTACTATTATTTAATACGTAGATCATGGATGCAGTCTTGCCCCTAAATTTCATTTGGCAACATTCCACCATCTGGGATAAAATTTTTTTGGGTTTTTTGCGATTTGCAAGCATATTTTGCATTTTTCGTAAAAAATGGTTAAATACAAATATGTAGAGAATTTAATTTCCCAGATTTATAATATAGAAGATTTTTTTTTAATTTCATTGTAAAAAATTAGCAAAAACTGCGAGAAAATTTTATATTGTCACGGTTTTCGCCATTTTTTTGACAATTTCTGTTGAAAATTCATAGCATATTGAAATTCCGAAGTTGTAGAGAATTTCATTCTCCACAACTTTTACACCTACATTTTTTTTTTGTACGACGCTTAGATCACGGCCGGGACCGCAATACACATGGCGATGCTTGGGATGCGCCGTAAAACTCATTTCCTGCACTTGCTTTACGTTAAAAAAAAAAAAAAAAACGTTGTCCGTGGATTAGTCCTACTGGGGAAACACGTTAAAAAATGCGCCAAAAAAACTCTTCTGCAGCGGTGGTGTGGAAATGAGTTTTACGGCGCATTCCGTACATCGCTATGTGTATTGCGTTCCCGGCCGTGATCTGAGCGTCGTACAAAAGAAATGTAGGTATAAAAGTTGTGAAGAATGAAATTCTCTACAACTTTGGAATTTCAATATGCTATGAATTTTCAACAGAAATTGTCAAAAAATGGCGAAAACCGTGACAATGTAAATTTTTTTCGCAGTTTTTGCTAATTTTTTACAATAAAAAATGCTATTTTTAAAAAACCTTCTATATAACAAATCTGTGAAATTAAATTCTCTACATATTTGTATTTAACCATCTTTTACGAAAAATGCAAAATAAGCAGTTTATATCTCTTGGCAAAAAAACAAAAACGCTTCTCCTGGCAGCTAAGTAAACAGAGCTTAATAAAGTGAGGTCAATGATATCGAGATGTTTTGCAACGTCAATGAGTTGCAATCGCAAGTAAACGTTGGGGACAACTTATGCGTATGTATGTGCATCTGGGTGTACATTGGCGCTTCCGAAAGAAATGCACAAAAATCGTAAAATTTTTAAGCCAACACTTGTAAAAGAGCCTGCAGTTGCAACAGACAGCTAAAGAAAAAGCGGTGTATCAACTGATTCAGCTTTAAAATATAAAATTATTTAAATTTGTGCAAAATATGGAACTCAATGGCAAAAATGTGATCTGTGCAGGTGGTTTTGGTGGCATCGGACTGGCTTGTGTCAAAGAATTTCTCGCAAAGGGTGTAAAGGTAAAATTGCCAAATCGGCCCCTTTAAGTGTGTTAAATAAGAGACAAATCATATTTTTTTCAGAATTTGGTCATTTTTGATCTAACAGAGAATAAGCAAGCTTTGCTGGAGTTGCAGAATTCGCATCCAGCCTCTACAATTCATTTCATACAATTTGATGTGTCTAAAAAAGAAAGCATAACAGCAGCTTTCACCGATGCTGTGGAGAAAATGCAGTACTTTGATGTGTTGATCAACGGTTTCGCCATAATGATGGATGAACACATTGAACTGACAGTTGAAATTAATTTGGTAGTAGAAGTTATTAAAATACAAATTTGCAAAAATAACGCCCCTTTTTTCAATTGTCATTAGTTGGGTGTTATCCACAGCACTCTCACTGCACTGCCTTATATGGATAAGTCAGCTGGTGGACGTGGTGGTATCATTATGAATGTCTCATCTGTTGCCGGTTTGGAAGCAACCGCTTTGTTTGCCATTTATTCCGCCACTAAGCATGGCGTTACAGCATTCACGCGTTGCATGGCGGTTTGTATGAAACATGACTAATTTTTTTAATTTCTTTAGTACATTTTTTTTTCGTTCCTTTTAGGATCAAATCTATTTCGATCATTTTGGCGTTCGCTTCATAACAATATGTCCTGGCATGACAGATACGGGTCTCATAATAAATCTTCATAAAAGAGTGACCTTTGAGTTTACTCAAGACGCTACTAAAATCTTCTATGATGCCAAAAATCAGAGTGCAGAAACGTGTGCGAAGAATATGATAACGGTTATTGAGACGGGAAAGAATGGTGGAGTTTACTTACTTGATTTAGGCGATATTAAAGAGATTACTTATCCGGAGTTTTGGAGACCTACTTTTTAAAAACCTCAAGCGCTGTTATTCAATCCTTTAACGGTAACGCTAATGAATACATAAATACATATGTATTAGAGGGCTGCATGAAGTCATTCAAACTTTTAGCCATACAGAGTACAGTAGATTTGAATATTTTACTTCATATACAAAACATTCAGCGTTTGGAATTTTGTAAGTTATGAATATGCCTTTTGTTTTAGATTTTCTATCTTCAAATAGATGAATGTGAATGAATGAATGGAAAACATTCAAATCATTCAAACTCATTTCGGTAGAAGTTTTTTTCTACAAACAAGTTTTTTCGTATGTAATAGGAGCGCAGCAATACATACATACTTACATATGTATGTTTGTACATATGTGCATAGAAAAATTTTTTTGGGATATTCATACAAAAAATTGTCATTTATTTTAATTCAATTTATTTTCGCTTTGTGTACTGTCGACACAAATATCAGAACAGCTATTCACTCAAACTCAAAAAAATGTGAAGCCAAAATCGTTCATTCGTTCTGTATGTATATGAATAATTCATAAGACATTTTGAATGCATTCATGCAGCCCTCTAATATGTATGTATTTACGTAAAGTTTACGTAGTACATTTTTTCGGTTTTAAATCATTTATTTGACAGTTTTGTTAGAAAAAGTCTGAATGAGCTACACACATTGTTAAACAACAAAAATATCGCAATTATATGCGTCCATAATTTTTCGACTTTTTGTGCATCGCTATCGCTTAAATTGCTGTCATTCTGCATAGCTTCTATTTCATCTTTATTATTTTCACCGAGTTTACTGAGATCACTGCCAATGATAATAGGAGTGTACTCGTACCCAAAACCATCAAAAGTTTTAGAAAACTTTTACTGGTTTTGGGTCCTCGTACCCAAAAAACTTGCAAAGTAGGGGAAATTGAGAGAGCAAAATATGATAGAGAGCTGCAAATTTCTGCTCGAAAAATTTTTACAAGCGAAAACTTCCACGTAAGAAAATCAGCTGATCACAAACACATGTTTGTAAATAAACAAAAGAAAAAATGCCTTTTTGAGTAATTTATTGCAAATTCTAATATTAATGGTAGTATACAACGAAAAAGTGAATAAATTTATTAAGCACTACGCTTGTTGAGTTTATTTTTCGTTAATTTACTATTAATCTCCAGTTTGTTTACTTTAGTGTGTGCTGACTATGGTTGCCGTATGACATTTTTCGTTTGTACCATAATTTTCCTTTAAATATACCAAAATAGATTAAAATGCAGCATGCTGAAATGTTTTATTGCTGAAGTTGTCGGTGTTGGTAGGTTGATTGTTGAAATGAAAATGGTATAATTATAAAGCTACATTTGTAGCTGTATCTATTAATTTTTTTGGATCAATGATGGGTGTTTGGAGGAGATTCTCTTATTTTTGAATGCGTCCACATGTGATATCACAAATAATGATGAGAAAAATAACTTATTCAATCCGATATATTTAATTTGTATTTTAAAAAGGTTTTTCTTATCCAAAACTATTCAATTGTATAAAATGTAAAATCGGGGGAAAATGTACCAAGCAGAAAATAAATTGCCAAAGGACCACCAGTGGCAACTGTGGAAGTGATCAGCTGTTTCGAAGGTTGCAAGTTTTTGCAAATTTTGCGTCCTCGTACTTACGTGGATATTTGGTATCTTTGAGAGCGAATGCTGCTTAATCTCAGAATTTTCGTTGCTGAATAATTTTGTCCACTCATTACGAGTACACACCTAATATGATACGAAATTCTTTCCCTTGTGAGAGCGCTGTGAAAATCTGCATTTTTAGGTTCTTTCCCTAACAATCCGGACCGGATCCGGTAATAAGAGAATAAGCGAAAAGTTTGCTCTCAAAAATGGAACATAACCCAGAAGTATGGGGACACAAAAAACCACATTTCGTGCCCAGAATTTGAGAAACAGCTAATTCGCGTTGTTTTTGTTTTTGTCACTTAAATGCAAACTCTTGGAAATTGAATTTTTTAAAGATTGAAAATACATTCACTATTCCTTAAAAGCACCAAGTAGATGCAGGCAACATGTAAACACAAAACAGCTGATATGCACTTTGACGCTTTATCCATTTTTACCCGGAGAAAAAATCCGGGCTGTTTCGGGCAGAAGAAGAAGAAGACACATACGATCCAATACGTTACAATTTTCGCTCTCTATTACCCATTTTGTTGAGTACGGGAATAATTTCTAGGCTCTTTTGGGCAACCGCAGGATCCCGCGTTGCGTACGGGAAATAACCTTTTATAACATCCCCCAATATTGCCACGGCAGCGAAATACATACTGGTAGGTTTATTGAGTAAATTTTGCTTAACTTTTTTATTTAACAAAATAAGTAAATTTTTTGGAATTTTAATGTCCTCTTCATTATTTAATGTTAAAAATTACCATTTAAAATGCGTTTTCTTCAAAACGTTATCTTCAAGCAAGATTTTGCTATGTGATTGCAGGAAATCCATCGAAATTAAATCGGTGCGTTTTGTGCGTATTTGGTGGCAGCTCGCTATTTTTCTTGTCAGCTGTTTAGTCCAATTATATTTGACAGTGCTGCCAAGTCAGCAAATGTCTTTAAGTTAGATTCTCGGAAGCAGAATGAGAGAGTTTCGTACCATGTCATCCTTGTCACTGCAAAATCTAAAAAAAAAACTAAAGCATACCTGGTTTTGCGTTTTTTTTTTCAAATGCCCAAAGGTTGATGAAGGCACAGCAAAAGTGAAAAATTTGTATGCGGTACGTATGTAGGCGACATAACAGCTGTTTATGTAAAATTTACTTAGTTACCATTCTAGGGTTAATAGGAGTGTTCTCGTATTGCAAATTATTTAAATTGTTGCAAATTTTCAAGTTTTTGCGTTCTAGTTCCCGAAAAAATTGCATTTACATTTCATTTTGAGAGAAAACTGCAAATTACTGCTGAAAAAAAATTACTTTCGAAAACTTGCTAGTAAGAAAATCAGCGGATCGACTCTTTTTCTTGAATAAAGAGAAGAAAATACATATATATTCCACAGAATATTTATTTGCAAATTTTATAACTATTTTTGTTATGCGATGGAAAAAGAGCGTAAAGTTATTAAGCACAAGATTTATTAAGCGTTCTTCTTAATAGATTTACTAATATCCCGACAAAAAATGCAGCTTATTAAAATGGAAAAATTGTGAATTTTAAAGATACATTGTTTTATATTTTTTTTTTCTGAACGTGGATTGGATTTGTGTTGGGGTGAGCGGTCGCTTTTTTTTACTTACCACTAATAAAAGCTTGTCTTAAAAAAAAAACTTTGTTTATATTACTTGCTTCAACCTGTTTCGTAATACTTTGTAAAAATTCAATAAAGTTGCACGTCAGTTTTCTTGTTTGAAGCGTCTGCAAAATACCGTGGATTTTTGACATTTTTCTTTTGGCGTGTATTTTTTTTCAGTCATAGTTACTATATTCCAAAATTTTTTTATGGAAGAAAATAAAACCGTCGGCAAAAAAATTATCAAAAATCAACGCGAATTCTTATCCTCTTAAAACTTGCACTTTGTTCTAGTACAATTTAGTGGGTTGTAAAACTGCGTTCTTGTATTTTTCTATATTATGAAAAAAAAGTTTGTTGCTGTTATAAAAATTTGTTGAATTTTTCTAAATATTTTGAAATATTGATTTATATGATGTTTATGTATTATATAATTAGCTAGAGCTTAATAAACATCAAACAAACGAAAGAAAACTACTCAAAATGTCGCGTCACCATTTTTTGACATGACTGTATGTACATATGTATATGCATTTTTATAACGCGGTTCCACGAGCAATTTGCTGTTAGTTTATATTGTTTTGTATCAACGTCTGATAAATTTATGCTACTTCTGTTCATTAAAAAACATTAGGTAGCAAAAAAGTAATTTTTCATAAAAATCCAGTATTTTTGAAAAAATAACAGTAACTATTTTTGGAATTTAAAAAGTATAATACTGTAAAAAAGAATAAATCTTTAAGTATGCGTGTCATATTTGTAATACCCCTGTAAACCATTTTTTCAGAGTATTGTAAAGTAATTTTTTAGAATTATTAAAGATCTGATCCGATTTTTTGCCGGATTTTCTAAAATGAAATAAACTATGAGCACTTCGAAAAAAATCGGTAAAGCAATTAAAATAATGCTGCTCTGTGAAGAATTTCTTGCAAAATTTTTTCAGAATTTTCTTTACTTTTCATACAGAAATTTCTTTACGAGTTCGTGTCAACCACTTCATATAATTTTCTTTGAAGATTCTTAAAAAATCGTAACAGAAATGAGATACTCCTAAAGATTTCGGCAACTTTGGTTTGCAGAGACGTCCAGCAGCGAAAAATGCGAATTCAGCTCTTGTTGTTCTTTTTATAAACACAGCTGCTGTAAAATTTGTTGAATTTTTATTTATTGTATAGCTAAAGAAAAGAACTCTGATATGTATAACGAATAAAAATTTGAAATAATGTATACAATTGCTTAAGAAAAAATACCAAATGATTTGTAAGTTCTTCGTAACTATTATTTCAATGAAAATGTGCCTCAACGACGAATTTTAGCCAATAATACTTAAGTTTCAAGACAGATTTTTTTTTGTATTGTAAAAAAATATACTATACGCTTTCGTGTTCATTAAAACTTAGGCTGATATGAACTTCATAAAAATTATAAAAATTACCTAAAAATGTGTCTGGTGGGAAAGGTCTTTGTAACTGGTGAAAAAATAATTATGTATGTTTGAAGTAAAAGTGACCATAAACTAAAATTACATTTTTTTTTTTCAATGAATATTGTTTTCTGGGTCGGAGCTGCTTACTACTTTTGGCAGCAGCTTACATAGGGGTGTCCTACTGTGCGACGCCGCCGCCGCATAAGCTATCAGCGTAAACCTCTGATATCTATGGCTTGTCTTACTGCATACGAAGCTTGTGCACTGATGTTGCCGAGCAAGTTTATGCAATACTTGTTTTTTTTTTTTATAACCATTGCAAACAGAATTCACATATTTATCTACATA